GGTAGAACTTTGAAAACCATGACAATTATATAACAGATAGAACAATAGTCGGTTTTTGAAGTCATAGTACTCAGTAACTCAAAATGACCAAAAATGTCAGATAGAACTTTGTAATTCTATGGTAGCGATTTGACTTCGACAATTTCAGGTGAATCACAACACGTACAAGGGGAAAACTCTCGTGTTCAAGGGAGCCGGCGCCACCTGGATCCAACCCCGCACCCTGCAGGAACTTGTAGAACTGAAAGCTCTACACCCAGATGCGAAGATCGTCGTTGGAAACACAGAAATTGGTGAGACTACACTGAGCGGTATGTTTATTTTTGGAAACTCAGAAATTGGTGAGACTGCACGGAGCTGCATGTTAATTTTTGGAAACACAGAAGTTGGTAAGGTTGCGCGTAGCAGTTTGTTTATTCTTACTCTCTACGGTACGTAAACATATTTCGTTGCTACCATTCATCATTATCGACGTAGTCAAAATACGACTTCCTTTTCAAGAGAAGCAAAAATCTATTTCATTTCTCGCAGAACAATACTATGTTAACACAAAATGTTTAGTTTGTCTGTATCCGATAATAATTTTAGAATAGGAATGAAGCTATTATTACTTATTGTTGGGCATCATCAAACTCTAAATAAATGCTTGATTCCAATTATTTTTCGAAATTTTCAGACACAACAATGTCGACTGACGGCGACGACTTGCTTCCGGCGTTGCAGCCGGTAATTTAAAGTTAGCAGAACAATATTGAAGGTCTAACGACACAGCCACTGTCTGTCTCACAGTGAGCAGTTTCAAGTTTCAACAGGGCGAGAACTCTGAATACTCTCAACATTTCATGGCTCTGAGGCCTCGTTTGACCGTGTTTCTTTGGCGTAAGCTAAAGTGTGGTGTTGTAAATGACCAAAATTGTGACAGTCGTGGCGTAAATACACTTACATATTATTCCCCCCCCCCCCTCCCAATGTCATTTAGTAGAATACTGTGAGTGTATTTATTGCTTTTTCTCACCCAGGAATCGAAACGAAGTTCAAGAACATGAGGTACAGGACGCTGCTGTGTCCCACACACATCCCGGAACTGTCGTGTGTTGTCGTGAGTGACCTAGGTGTGACGGTGGGTGGGGCTGTCACGCTCACACAGCTCAACGACCAACTACAGCGACTGGTGGACACCTTGCCAGGTACGTCGACGACCGCGACAACAACAACAACAACAACAACAACAACAACAACAACAACAACAACAACAAC